GGTTGGGTGTGTGTGTGTGTGTGTGTGTTGTGTGCTTCATCACCTGTGAGAAGACCTGCCCCAGACAGGTTCGTGGACCAAGTGCAAATGGATAGTAGCAGTAATAAGGCCTTACAGATAAGAACACAATTAGAAATCAACGGATTTGATGCCAAAATGACGCAACATAAAGGTGTGTTCATGTAGCACATATCGTAATTACATGATTACAACTGTAAAAAGAGCTCATGTCCTAGTTGAACTTGTAATTACAACTTGTAGACTCTGACCCCTGAAATATCACATAACAAACACTCATACAATACAAACAGATATACAATACAGTTTAATGTAGCTATAGCACAGTTAAAAAGGTGCACAGGGTTGTTGTATTATAGCTTTGTCTAATGATTGTACAAATTACACAGATTCATTTCTTTCCACAGAAATTAATAATTTGGAAACAAAGGCTGTAAACGTCAGAGGTTGGCATCTCAGAATTACTGTCATTATGCCATGAATGTGGCATAAATACTAAAACAGAGAGTAAAATGAGACTGTGATAATGACTTACTTTGGGGCATTCACATCAAATCTCTCTGGATCAAACTTCAACGGATCTTTAAAATACTTCTCCATTCTTTGGGAGACATAAGCACTGAACTGTATGGAAAGAGCCCAAAATTATTCAAAATACTCATTTAATCATATACAATGAAATAAGTAAAAGTTATGACACCACTGCTGACAGAATGTATTGCTGATTTGAAATGTTATTAAATCTAATCTAATCTAATAAACAATGCATTTTTTTCTCCATTCTAAGTGACAAGCGCTGTACTTTTTTCTAGTATTACTAGAGATAGCTGCTCTGGGCCGGTACAATGATGGCTACAGAATGAGCCGATACTCACAGCAACAGAACAGCCCCCTGGGATTTTCAACCCATTTATAACCATGTCCTCATGTAGCCAGCGATTGGTTCCTGGAGCAGTTGGGTACAGACGCAGCGTTTCCTTCAACACCTGCAGCATCGAGTAAAAAACAAAGACCATTTAAAAAATGGATACAAAATGCTTTGTGTTTGTAGCATGTAAAAAACATCTCTGCAGACCCACCTGAGACAAGTAGGTGAATTTTCCAAGATCTTCATATGAAATGTCTCTTTTTGTCCCAAGGATTTCATCCACCTCTGCTTTAGCCCTGGGAAGGAAAGGAAATTCACTAGAAAGCATTGTAATGCAAGACGGATGGAAAAGGTCAACATTTTCAAGAAGTGGTTTTTTTTTTACCTTTTATATATCTCAGGATGTCTCCCTAATTCCATGATTGCAAATGAGAGCTGATTGGCTGTTGTCTCTTGCCCTGCAACAAAAACAAGCACTGTTTATAACTGCAAGGGTTTATGAACAAAAATCAAATGTAGCCGTAACTCACCAGCAATGAAGAAAGTCACAAAATTGTCCAACATCTGCTCATGATCTTTTGCACTATTAACTTTTTCCTCCTCTGTAGCAAAACATAGAAATTTGGAATCAAATGAACTATATGACATGCTGATAATTCAAAGACTCAATTACATTTTTAAATTTCAATGACATTTTTCTTCATGTCATGAGAAATCGAATTTGCCTTGATCTTCTGACATATAAGAGGTATTTGTACCTTTAAAACATCCTGCAAGTTTCACAGCATAACCTCCACATAATAAACAAAGCATTTATTTAACCAAGCTCCATAAATGGCTCATTTGGATCTGAGATGGCATGTGACATCACAGGGGCACAAACATTTGCATATACACTGCCTCCAGAGCAAAACAAAGACGAATAGTCATCGTCTCACCATATGCCCCGCCTACTGGTGTTCAGTCGCTTAATGGCTGACACTTGTATACAGTATACAGATGCACGTTCGCTTTCTGACACAGTCCACGCACTTGAGTCTGTTGACAATAGGACAAACTGAAGAGTGAACTCGATTATTCGATTACTGACAAGCCAGAAAGGACTCACCCCTTAAAGGGTTAGTTCACCCGAAAATGAAAATTAGCCCATAAATTACTCACCCTCAAGGCATCCTAGGTGTATATGACTTTCTTCTTTCAGACGAATCCAGTCGGAGTTATATTAAAAATTGTCTTTGATCTTTGTTTTCACGAGATTCACCGGCGCATGCGCTGACCTCATACGTCATGCTCCCGGAGCTGCTTCCGTTTACAACTGTTGGCGCAAGCTATATTAAATTGATTATATTATATTATATTATATTATATTATTATTCGTCTGAAAGAAGAAAGTCATATACACCTAGGATGCCTTGAGGGCGAGTAATTTATGGGCTAATTTTCATTTTTGGGTGAACTAACCCTTTAAAACCAGGTCATTTTAGACAGAGGGCCGGAATGAGGGTTGAAAAATTACTCATTCCGGCCCTCTGTCTAAAATGACCTGTCTAAAATGACAATTTTCCGTGTCAGGACATAATAAAAAATTATCTGGTCCTTGGCAAGTCTTAAAATTTGGAAAATAAATCCTTAGATGAACAACATGACATATCACACTGTGTCATTATGTATTTAACAAAAATAAAGCCAAGATGGAAAAGCCATGTGTGACAAAATTAGGACACCCTATGATTCAATTGCCTGTGCATTCGCTTTTAACAGCAATATCTAGAAGTACTCATTTTTTGTATGACTTTTTCAGTCTCTCACATCGTTCTGGAGGAATTTTGACCCACTCTTCTTTGTAACATTGCTCCAGTTTATTGAGGTTTGTGGGCATTTGTTTATGCACAGCTCTCACCACAGCATTTCATTCAGGATGAGGTCTGAACTTTGACTGGCTATTGCAACACCTTAATTTTTTTTTTTCAGTCGTTCTGTTGTAGATTTGCTCGTGTGCTTGGGATCATTGTCCTGTTGCATCACCCAATCTTGGCCAAGCTTTAGCTGTCAGATGGGTGGCCTCACATTTGACTCTAGAATACTTTGGTATACAGAGGAGTTCATGGTTGACTCAATGACTGTGAGGTGCCCAAGTCCTGTGGCTACAAAACAAGCCTAAAATCATCAGCACTCCACCAGCATTTGCTATGAGGTGTTTGTGCTGATATGGTCTTTAGGTTTTCACCAAACATGGCGCTGTGCATTATGGCCAAACTTCTCCACTTTGGTCTCGTCTGTTCAAAGGGCATTGTTCTAGAAGTCTTACGGTTTGTTCAGATGCAAATTTGCAAGTCTAAACTGTGCTGCCATGTTTTTTTTTAGATAGAAAAGTCTTTCTTCTGGCAAGCCTTCCAAACATGCTATACTTGTGCCATATTTTTCTAATTGTACTGTCACGAACTTTATCATTTAACATGTTAACGGAGTCCTGTAGAGTCTGTGGTGAAGTTCTTGGGTTTTCTGCCATTTCTCTGAGCGATACACAGTCTGATCTTGGGGTGAATTTGCTGGGACGTCCACTCCTGGGAGGATTGGTGTCTGTTTTGAATGTCTTCCACTTGCGAATAAACTTCCTCACTGCAGAATGATGGACTTCATATTGTTTGGAAATGGCCATATTTCTCTTCCCAGATTGATGGTAGCAACAATTGCTTCTCTAAGATCATTGCTGATGTCTTATCTCCTTGGCATTGTGTTAACACACACCTGAAGGCTCCGGACCAGCAAACTGTCGAAACTTCTGATTTTATAGAGGTGCTCACACTTGCTGATCAGTTAATCAAAGGCATTTGATTAGCAGTGCCTGACTGCTACTTACCCTCTTAATTCCTCTTAACGGTAAGGGTGTCCTTACATTGTCACACATGGCATTTCCATTTTGGCTTTATTTTTGTTAAATAAATAATGACACAGTGTGATATGTCATGTGTTGTTGTTCATCTGAAGTTTTAAGCCGCTTTTCCACCGAAATTACCTAGAACAATATGTCCCAGGAACTTTTTTCCCCCAGACCTGTTGAGGTCTGTGTTTCCATCGCGGTCTAAAGTACCGAGAAGATTAGGCAAATAGTCTGGTGACGTAGGTCTGCGCGCGTTTCTCAATACCAAGTACGCAAAGTTCGGACTTGCATCCTCGGTAGAAAGTTTTAAGCCGCTTTTCCACCGAAATTACCTAGAACAATATGTCCCAGGAACTTTTTTCCCCCAGACCTGTTGAGGTCTGTGTTTCCATCGCGGTCTAAAGTACCGAGAAGATTAGGCAAAAAAAAAATGATGCGAATGTATGGTGGTTGAAATACAAT